TGTCCATAAGTAAGCCAGAAGTTCTGGAGAACCCGTGGTGGGGAAGGCAGAGGAGCCTGTGTGCTGTGGCATTTGAGCCAAGATGAGATAACAAAGAATTCCAAGCTTCAATCCAGGGAAGTGCATTCCAGTCAGAGACAGCAAAGCCACAAGCATGGGGAATGAAGCATGGGGAATGATGCCTTGGCTGTCCTGGAACTCACTCTGTAGACCAGGCTGGCCTCAGACTCACAGAGATGCACCTGCCTCTGCCTCCGGAGTGCTGGGATCAAAGGTGTGTTCCACCACACCCACATGATTTTTAGGCAGCCGAAGAGAGATGGTTCGGCAGTTAAGAGCACTTGTTGCTCTTGCAGAGGACCTAGGTTTGGTTCCCAGAACCCACATGCTCACAACCATCTGTAACTTCAGTTTCGGGGTTCCTGACTCCCTCTTCTGTCCTCCATGGGCACTGCACACATGTGATGCACTTACATACATGCAGGCAAACACATAAAACATTTTACATCTAAAAATATTTTTTAGGATTATAAAAATAAATAACTACAAATCCAGGTATGGTGATTCACACTTATAATCCCAGCACTCAAGAGGCTGAAGCAGGAGGATTCCTATGAGTTCCAGACCAGACTGGACTACAGACTAAGACCTTGTCTGAAAAACAAAAGCAAGCCAGGCGGTGGTGGCGCATGCCTTTAGTCCCAGCACTCGGGAGGCAGAGCCTGGTCTATAGAGCGAGTTCCAGGACAGGCTCCAAAGCGACACACAGAAACTCTGTCTCAAAACAGAAAACAAAATCAAATCTCAGCCTTTTGAATAAGATGAAGTGTGAAAAAAAAATGCATGCATACCTACATGCATAATGTGCATACAGTGGCAAACTGGGCCTGGCTCACATAGCAAGTACCAGAACAAGTACCGGTAGGGTTACATAGCACAACTCCACCTCACCAAAAAGAAACAAACAACAACAAAACGCAGGGGTGTGCTTAGGGGTGTAGAGCTTGCTTAGCATTCAAAGAGCCCAGGTTTTTAGCAGTCAAGAGTGTGTACTACCCTTGTGGAACACTTCAGTTCCTAGCACACACCACACACACACACTGGGTGCTTAACAACCATCTGCAACTCCAGCTCTGGAGACTCTGAGGCCTTCTTTTGGCCTTTGTGGGGTCTTGTACTCACATGCACATATCCCTACACAGACACACACACACAGACACATACACACACACACACACACACACACACACACACACACACACACACACACACACGGAGTTTTTTAAAGATGAAATAGATGGGCATGGTGGTGCTTGCCTTTATTCCTGGCACTTGGGAGGCGGAGGCAGGCAGATCTCTGTGAGTTCGGCAGTGCTGGGGATAGTTCTCAGGACTCTGTACATTCTAGATAAGCTCCATACCAACCCGAGCTACAGCCTCAGTCTCCAGAGCAAGTTTCAGGCCAGCCAGGGCTACATGGTGAGATCTGTCTCAAAATAAATAAATGAATAAATAAATAAATAAGGGCTGGAGAGATGGCTCAGAGGTTAAGAGCACTGGCTGCTCTCCCAGAGGTCCTGAGTTCAATTCCCAGCAACCATATGGTAGCTCACAGCCATCTATAAATGAGATCTGGTGCCCTCTTCTGGTCTGCAGGCATACACACAGGCAGAACACTGTACATTGTAAATAAATCTTTTTAAAAAATCTTTCTTTAACTTATTTATTATGTATGCAGTATTCTGTCTGTGTGTTTGCCTGCACACCAGAAGAGGGCACCAGATCTCATTATAGATGGCTGTGAGCCCCCTTGTAGTTGCTGGGAATTGAACTCAGGACCCCTGGGAGAGCAGTCAATGCTCTTAACCTCTGAGCCATTTCTCCAGTCCCATAAATAAATAAGTCTTAAAAAAAAAATCCACTTTTGAAGGACTACATCAAGAACCTAAACTCTCCTGAAAGACAGCCTCCTTAAGTGTCATTTGGGACCTAGCCCTGGGGTCAGTGCAGTACCTGGAAGAGCTGGCAGGAGCCAGGCCAGTGAGAAAGCGCCAGCTCTCAGAAGCTAGGAAATGGGTTCAACCCACCACTTTCAGACGCCAATATTATCTAAGGCTGGTCCCACAGCAGCTTGTGACCCAGCAATCTCATTCCTACAGCATCTCTGGCACAGTGCCCAGAGAGGCATGCACGAGGCTGTCCACAGAGCAAGGCTGTTCCCTCAGACTGGAAACCACCCAACTGCCCATCAGCACTGGATGCACTGGGATCTGTTCACCCTAAGAGAGGCCAGAGCACAAGAAAAGGCAATACGCCGCCACCGCAATGAGTGTTCTGCTGAATGGAAGAAGTCAGATGTGCATGAGCATCTAGTCTGTGACTGTATTTATAGAAAGGTCAAAAATAGACATAGTCATTGCATTTGAGGATGCAGATATTGGCTCCTCTAGGGAGGAAATCGGAAGTCACTGTGGCAGGAGGTGACTAGTCCTAAGTGTGTTAGAATAACAAGTGTAAAGGAACAATTGAAAAGCTCCTGAGTGGACCCAACAAGCTACTATGTTTCTTCAGCAAAAATCTGGTGTTCTCTAGAAGGTGCCTCTTTCATTATCTGTGAGCTGTCACTGGGAGCTACAGCACTCTGAGCACTGTGAAAATTGTTCTTAGCCAGAAAAATGTGAAGCAGGATTGGGGCTCTATCTCTGTTGGTAGAATTCTTATCTGGCATGCATGGAACCCTGGGATCGATCCCCAGCACTCCAGAACACCAGGCTTGCTCACGAGTGCCTATAAGCCCAGCTCTTGGGAGGTGGAGGCAGGAGAATCTGAAGTTAAAAATCATTCTCCTCTACATGACAAGTTTAAGGCCAGCCTGGGCTAAATGAGAAAATGTCTTTTTTTTTTTTAAGTAAATTATACCCAGGTAGGGTGCAGTTGGTTGCTGACCTGTGGCTCTGGTCTAGTTTTGCATCCATTTAGGGAATTAATTTCTGCATTCTGGACTGCCTGTATTTGTACCTGCTCTGGGGACCTCTCTTTTGAACTGAAGACAACATCTGATAAAAATCTCTGAAAAGTGCTCATATTTCACTTTAGTTTTTTCAGTGCTAGGTAATAGATCATAGTGTCTTGCACATGTGAGACTGTCACATTATTACTTTACATTCCCAGCCAGAGACTTAATTCTTTTTTCAAGTAGAAGGTTTCAGAGGTAGCTCATTGGTTCAGTGTGTGGCTACATGGTATGTATAAACCCCTGGGTTTGATCCCCAGTGGAAAATGTATGTGAATTCCTATTTGTATATTGTAGATATATATACATATGTATATGTGTATGTATATGCAAATATTTAAAGTTATTTTTTAAGATTTATTTATTTATTATGTATACTATATTCTGTTTGCATGTATGTCTGGATGCCAGAAGAGGGCATCAGATCTCATTACAGATGGTTGTGAGCCACCATGTGGTTGCTGGGAATTGAACTCAGGACCTCTGGAAGAGCTGCCAGTGCTCTTAACCTCTGAGCTATCTCTCCAGCCCTAAAGTTATATTTTAAGTAATCGATCCAAGTGTGCCTGCATATAACTCTCATCTCAGCACTTCAGAGGCTATGGCCAGAAGAATCTGAGCTTTAGGCCTGTCAGGGATACATGGAGAAATTCTGTCTCAAAAACAAAAACAAGCCGGGCGGTGGTGGCAGCGCACGCCTTTAATCCCAGCACTCGGGAGGCAGAGCCAGGCGGATCTCTGTGAGTTCCAGGCCAGCCTGGGCTACCAAGTGAGTTCCAGGAAAAGGCACAAAGCTACACAGAGAAACCCTGTCTCGAAAAAAAAAAAAAAAAAAAAAAAAAAAACAAAGGACTGGAGAGCTGGCTCAGTGGTTAAGAGCACTTGCTGCTGCTGCAGAGTGCCCAGCCACCCACATGGCGGCGCAGTTCAGGAAATCTGTTGGCCTGTGAGCACTGCATGCGTTTGGTGCCCTTACAGACATGCAGGCAAAACATTCATACACATGAGAGCAAATAAGTAAAGTATTTAAGACAAAAATGATAAGAAAGGACACTAGATTTCCATCAAAGGCCACTGTCGCTGAGGCCTCTGGTTCTTGAATGCCAAATGAGTTGAGAGCCAAGGCTAGGGTGCCAATCAGATCAACTGCCAAGGCCCTCAGTCTTCCAGAATAGGTTAGCAAAGAATGTGTAGACTAGTGGTTCTCAACCTTCCTAATGCTACGACCCTTTAATACAGTTCCTCATGTTGTGGTGTCCCCAATCATAAAATTATTTTCGGCACCATTTCTTTCTTTCTTTTTTTTTTCCGGCGCTATTTCATAACTGTAATTTCCATACTGTTACAAGTTGTTTCTGTGTTTTCTGCTGGACTTAGGTGACCCCTGTGAAAGGGTCATTCCATCCAAAGGGGTCATGACCCACAGATTGAGAACTGCTGGTGCAGACAATTCTCCTAGCCTGTAATCTGAGCCGGGCCTGTAGCCTGCCAGATTCAACTGCCTACTCTTCACCTACCCACTGCATTCAAAACCCAGGGTAAAGCCAGGCATGGCAGCACAGCCCTGCAATCCCAACACTCTGGAAACAGAGGCCAGAACATCTGGAGCTTGAGGCCAAGCCTGAGCTATGCACCAAGAACCTATCTCAAACTAAAAGCGAGCCAGAGAGGTACCCCCTCTCCAGACACAACCTGGTACTATCATCCCTACCCCAGGTTCCGCTGCCTCTGCTGGAGTCTCCTCCTGGCTCCCAGCAGGGGGCAGCACTATCGCCATTTGATTAGTTTGCAAAGCAGAAGCGAATCCTGAGATGTAGCCAAAGTAAGATGCCCCCAAGAGCAGGTGAATCTGCTGCTAAAGGCCAAGAGACCTGGGAAAGGAGAAACAAGCTACTGTGGCTGATGTTTGGTGCCATCCTCTCCTTACCAGTGCTGATATACAGGAAAGTGCATTACATCAGCCTTGGTAGAGCAGGGGGCAGCCTACACTCTCGCAATCTCCTCCTCCAGCTCCCGCTAGAAGCGAGATTCCAGCTTGACTTTTACAGCTCCTGAACTTTGCTTCCCCAGCCTAGGGATAGACATGACCCTTCACGTCCCAAAGCTGAGCCCCACACTGAGCAGCTATGAGAAGCAGGTGGTTCCTGGCACAGGACCCGGGCCTCCTCCAGCTTGCCCACCCCACCCAGCTTCTCCATGGCCCTCATTGTCTGCAGATCTACAAATGTCACAAAGTACACAAAGCCCTGCACTAAGGAGTCCAGGGCCGACTGCCAGCTACTGTTGACCTTCAAGCTGGTGGCAGAGACCTCCCTCCTGCTCTGAGTGGGTTTATTCTGTTCTTCAGTGGTACTGGAGACTGAGCCCTGGGCTTGCTCGTGCTACACAAGTACTCCCCGGGACAAGGGGTGGTGTGGAGCCTGGGAAGGTGACAGTGACTTTGGCCAGACCTCCCTTGAGAAGACCGATTTCTGCAATGCCTCCCTTTCATCCCTGTCCCCCTGCAGCCACAGACCTGACCAAGTCTCACCCACCCACCTCTTCCTCTTCAGACATGAAGCTTCTGGATTCTGAAAGAAAATACTTGGTTTCTGCTCCAAAGGGCACAAAGGAAGCTCAGGGGTCCCCTGGTCTGTCAGTTCCCATGAGGACCAGACAAGACCCTCTTGGGAGGCCTGGGTAAGGCCACTTACCAGACAACTGCCACGGACCCCCACATCCTCAGCCTGGTGGCTCTCTCTCCCCTGGAGGAGTTTATCTATTCCCAGCTCATAAGTGAAAGGCCATCCTGTCCTCTTCCCTTGGTTGCCAAGAGTCACTCAAGTACCAGCCAGGTGCCAGAATGCACAGATAGGTGTCAACATCTCCCAACTGCTTTGTGTCCCCCAGGGTGACATTAACTGCTCTATTTCTGAGACCTCAAAATATTGGAGTGCTGTTCTTTGTTGCTGTAGAAAACATCATGACCAAAAGCAACTCAGGAGGAAAAGAGTTTATTATGTCTTCCACTTAGAGTCCATCACTGAAGGAACACAGAGCAGGAATCTGCAGGAACCTGGAGACGGGAACTGACACAAAGGCTCTGGAGGAGTGCTGCTTCCTGGCTTGGTCTCCATGACATGCTTAGCTTGCTTTCCTACACAACCAAGGGCCACCAGTCCAGGGGTACCATCATTCACAGTGGGCTGGGCCTTCCCACACTGATCATCAACCAATCAAAAAGAAAAGCAACGCCCCCACAGACACAGCCACAAGCCGATCCCATGGAGGCAGTTCCTCAGCTGAGGCTCCCTCTTCCCAGATGGCTCTAGTTTGTGACAAGAACTAACTAACATATATGCTGAAGGGTGTAGCTGAGCAGTAGAGGGCTTACCTGCCACAGGAAGCCTTTGGGTCCCAAGGAAAAGAAGAGAAGGAGGAGAAAGAAAAGAGAAGAAAGAGAATCGGGGAGAAACAGGAGGAGTGAGGGGGTCGGGAAGGAGGAAAGTGAAGTCAACAAGAACTATGTTTGGAGATGGAGTCTTTTTTCTTTTCTTTTCTTTTCTTTTTTTTCTTTTTTGGTTTTTTTGAGACAGGGTTTCTCTGAGTAGCCCTGGCTTTCCTGGAACTCACTTTGTAGACCAGGTTAGCCTCAAACTCAGAGATCTACCTGCCTCTGCCTCCCAAGTGCTGGGATTAAAGGTATGTGCCACTGGGCTGGAGGGATGGCTCAGCGGTTAAGAGCACTGCTTGTTCTTCCTGAGTTCAATTCCCAGCAACCACATGGTAGCTCACAACTACCTGTAATGAGATCTGGTGCCCTCTTCTGGTCTGCAGGTGTACGTGCAGATAGAGCACTGTATATGTAATAAATAAATAAATCTTAAAAAAAAAATAATAAGGGTGTGTGCCACCACCACCTGGACAAGAATATTTTTAAAGTGCTGGAGAGATGGCTCAGTGATTAAGAACACTGGCTGCTCTTCCCGAGGACCTGGGTTCAATTCCCAGCACCCACATGACAGCTCACAACTGTCTGTAACTCCAGCTTTAAGGGATCCTAAACCCTCAGACAGACAGACAGACATGCAGGCAAAACACCAGTCCACACAAAAAAATTAAAAAATAAATCATTAAAAAATATATTTTTAAAAGTCTTGACTTTGGGGGCTAGAGAGATGGCTCAGGGGTTAAGAACACCAGCTGATCTTCCAGAGGACCCGGGTTCAATTCCAAGCAACCACATGCTGGCTCATAACTATCTATAATGAGATTTGGTGCCCTCCTCTGGTGTACAGGCATACTATATCCGAGATAAATACATAAATCTTTAAAAAAATCTTGACTTTTAAAAAATTCTTAAAGGTATATTTAATCTTAATTGTGTGAATGTGTATATGTCTGTGCATGGGTGTGTACGAGAGAGTGTGGGTGCTCATGAAGTCAGGAGCATCAGATCCTCTTGGACTGAAGTCACAGGCAGTAATGATCCATTGACTTGAGTGTTGGGAATCAAACAGGTCTTCTAGAAGAGGGCACACATTCCTTTTTTTGGGGGGAAGGGTTCTTTTTTTGTTGTTTTTTTTTGTTGTTGTTGTTGTTGTTGTTTTTGTTTTTTGAAACAGGGTCTCTCTGTGTAGCCCTAGCTGTCCTGGAGCTCACTCTGTATATCAGGCTGGCCTCAAACTCACAGAGATCCTCCTGCCTCTGCCTCCCAAGTGCTGAGATCAAAGACGTGTGCCACCACGGCCCATCAAGGAGCACACATTCTTAACTGCTGAACTAACTCCAATCCTAAAATCTTAATTTTAAAAAACATTTTTTCAGCCAGGTGGTGGTGGCGCATGCCTTTAAACCCAGAATTTGAGGGGCAGAAACATCTGCCTCTGAGGCATCCCAACTCAGAGGACCTCTGAGTTTGAGGCCAGCCTGGTTGACAGAAGGAGTTCCGGGACAGTCAGGGCTATTCAGAGAAACCCTGACTTTTTTTTTCAGGCCTGTTTTAAGTGTATGATTGTTTTGCCTACAAGTGTGTATGTGCACCACAGGGGTGCCTGTGAAAGTGAAAAGAAGACATCTGAGCCCCTGGCTGGAGTTACAGATTGTTGAAAGCCACCATATGGGGCTGGGAACCAAACTCGGGTTCTCTACTAAACCAGTAAGTGCTCTTAACCACTAAGCCATCTCTCCAGTCTCTAAAATCTTGATTTTTAACTGTTATATTTTATCTGTAGATATTCCCACCACCACCACCCCCCCGCCGTGTGTGTGTGTGTGTGTGTGTGTGTGTGTGTGTGTGTGTGTGTGTGTGTTGGTGGTGGTGTTGTGGTTGTTGTTGTTGCAGTGGTGGGAATAGAACATATATACAAGAAATAAACATTAAAAAATTCAGAAAATAGGCCGGGCAGTGGTGGCGCACGCCTTTAATCCCAGCACTTGGGAGGCAGAGCCAGATGGATCTCTGTGAGTTCAAGGCCAGCCTGGTTTCAGAGTGAGTTCCAGGACAGGCACAAAAACTACACAGAGAAACCCTGTCTCGAAAAACCAAAAAGAAAAAAAAAAAAGAATTTGGGGAATTTGGGTTTGGGGATTTAGCTCAGTGGTAGAGCACTTGCCTAGCAAGCGCAAGGCCCTGGGTTCGGTCCTCAGCTCTGAAAAAAAAAAGAACAAAAAAATGAACAAGCTGGGTGGTGGTGGTGGTAGTGGTGGTGGTGGTGGTGGTGGTGGTGGTGGTGGTACACGCCTTTAGTCACAGTACTCAGGAGGCAGAGGCAGAGACAGAAAGATCTCTGAGTTTGAGGCCAGCCTGGTCTACAGAGCAAGTTCCAGGACAGCCAGGGCTACACAGAGAAACCCTGTCTCAAAAAAAAAAAAAAAAAGAACAAGGGACTTGAGAGATGGCTCAGCAGTTAAGAGCACTTGTTCTTGAAGCATGAGGGCCAGTGGTTAGACTCCAGCACCCCTTCCTCCCCCTCAGCATGTGGTATTGAACCTAGAGCTTCATACATGTGCTCCAGCAAGCGCTGAGCTGGAGCCCCGCCCTTCCGTCTGTGTATTGAGAGGGTCTTATTAACTTGAGGGAGGCCTTGAACTCACTCTGCAGCCCTGCTGGCCTTCAGCTCTCAATCTTCCGGCCTTAGCCTCCTGCACAGCTGGGGGCCTGTACCCCTGGGCCCGGCTGCATTTATCATTTTTTTAATTATTTTTAATTAGACTAGAAGGAAATTATGCCAGTTATCTCAGAATTTGGGGATTTGGGGACAACTTTTTTTAAAACTAGAGCTCTGTTCACTTACATTTTAACAACACACACACACACACACACACACACACACACACACACACACATACACGGTTTGTGTAGGGCAGAGACAACTTGCTGAAGTCAGTTCTCTCCACCGTGTGTGTCCTAGGGATCTGAGTCATCAGGGCTGGTGGCATGCACCTTTAGACACTGAGCTACTTTACTGGCCCTTCCCCCCCCCCCCCCCCCCCCCTGTTTTGTTATTTTGTATTTTGCCTTTTTTTTTTTTTTTCTCAGAGCTGAGGACCGAACCCAGCGCTTGTCTACCACTGAGCTAAATCCCCAACCCTCCCTCATTTTGTTATGAAATTTTTCAAAACACACAGGAAACTGAGCAGGGTCCAAGGAAAACTCCTGGACCTGTCTTCTAGAATCTCCTTGCTTTGTTGGGGTTTGGCTTCCTTCGTGGAGACCATTTCCTTAACTCAACTCTCTATTGACAACTTACTCAGTCCCACGCTGCCCTGGGTTATCCTGAGCCACACGAGAAGACATGGATGGAACCTGGACCTCAGTGTGAGTCCTGAAACCGTGTCATCCACGGGCCCTGCTCACACACAGGCGGGACGTGCTCATCACACCAAACAGAAGCCCCAGGATGGAGACACACAGCTGGCTAACCCTTCACAGACCCTTGTGAAGCACCCACTTCAGACAACCCCACACAGGAATGCTAAGGCCAGGCCAAACATCCTGGGTACACAGCTCCCTTGCCTGCGAGAGAAGCAGTGAGGACCTCCAGTCTCTTGTTTACGCTTTAGAAAGAGAAGAAGCAGCTGGCAAGATGATTCAGTGTGTAAAGACACTTGACAGCTTGAGGTCGGTCCTGGGACCTGGATGGAGGAAGGAGAGATCAGCTCTTACAAGCTGCCTCTGACCTCTGCACAGGTACCACGATACATGCCCTCCTATATACACATACTCAGACAAGTAAA